ACCTTTTCCAGTTTCATTATATGTTTCTTCAGATGGGGACTCCATGATGAGGCGGCATACTTTAAGACTGGCCTTACGTAGGCAGTGTAAAGCGCCCTAAATGCCTCCTTACTTAGGTTTCTGAATGATGTTCTAACTTTTGCCAGTGTAGAGTACGCTGCTGTCGTTATCCTATTAATATGTGCCTCAGGAGATAGATTAGGTGTTACGTCCACCCCCAGGTCTCTTTCACGCGTCGTTACAGGTAGGCTGTTCCCCTTCATTGTGTACTGTCCCTTTGGTCTCCTATCTCATAGTCCCATTTCCATAACTTTACATTTGCTCGTGTTGAATTCTAGTAGCCATTTCTCTGACCATCTCTGCAATCTGTTCAGGTCCTCTTGGAGGATCCTGCAATCCTCATCTGTCACAACTCTTCTCATCAACTTTGCATCATCCGCAAACATCGACATGTAGGACTCTACGCCTGTAAACATGTCGTTAACATATACAAGAAATAGAATTGGTCCCAGCACCGATCCTTGTGGTACTCCACTTGTTACTGTTCGCCAGTCCGACTTCTCGCCCCTTACCGTAACTCTTTGGCTCCTTCCTGTTAGGTAGTTCCTTATCCATGCTAGGACCTTTCCCCCCACCCCCGCCTGCCTCTCGAGCTTGAACAGCAGTCTCATGTGCGGTACTGTATCAAAGGCTTTTTGGCAGTCCAGAAATATGCAGTCTGCCCAACCATCTCTGTCCTGTCTTATCCTCGTTATTTTATCATAGAATTCCAGAAGGTTTGTTAGGTACGATTTCCCTGTGTGTGTGTGTGTGTGCGTGTGTTCGTGTGTGTGTGTTCGTGTGCGTGTGCGTGTGTTCGTGTGCGTGTGCACTAGGAAGACGTACACGACGGTCTGCTGGGAGAGGGAGAAGCGTCCATATACCAGCGTGTTGACTCAAGGCTCGTGGCATCCTGGTCATAATCACTGTTGAGCCGGGGAACACACACACACAGAAAAGGGAAGAAAAACAGATAGGCAAATGGAGAGAGAGAGAGAGAGAGAGAGAGAGAGAGAGAGAGAGAGAGAGAGAGAGAGAGAGAGAGAGAGAGAGAGAGAGGGGGGGGGGAGGGGATGAAGAGGGAGGGAGGTGTGGGGTCAGCCAGGCAGGTAGGGGATGTTGCCAGGCCTCGGGGGGGGGGGGGGTCAGCCAGGCAGGTGGTAAGGTGAAGGTGATATTGACAAGGTTAAGCGTAAGAGTATTCATTCATTATACCGAAAAAAATTAGCCATTCATTTTCCCTTTATTAATAATAATAATAATAATAATAATAATAATAATAATAATAATAATAATAATAATAATAATAATAATAATAAAAACAGTTTATGCCTATTATAATTATAGGAATAATAATGATATATAATAAGAATACTGATGACGATCAAAAAATAATCCCTTGGACAGCAGACAGTGTAGTGGTGTGGTTGACACGTCAGTCCGTGTCCGAGGACGTCGGCCTGACCGACTGCGACAAGGACCCAGGCAAGATAAGGATCACAGCTCACATGGGGACTAGCGATAAGCGCTGACCAGACACCCACAAGGTGATGTGGACCTCTCTCTCTCTCACTCTCTCTCTCTCTCTCTCTCTCTCTCTCTCTCTCTCTCTCTCTCTCATGCTTGCTTGGTCTCGTTTCAGGTGTGTGTGTGTGTGTTGGGACTCGCCCACGGGTTGGACCAGCGCCAGACGGCGCCACCCTCGACACCTGCGGGCCCCCAAGCGCACGTAACGACCTGCTCGACCTCCACCAGCCGTTGCGACCTGGTCGACCTCAAGCGGCCGTTCCGACCCGGTCGATCGCAAGCAGAAGTTACGACCTAGTCGACCTCCAACGAGACATTAAACGCAAGCAAGAAGAACGACGGGGTCTCAAGCACAGGACTGGAATACGAGTCCCATAGTAAAGAAGAAATACAAAAATTTCCCAATTTCGGGAAAACGATAACCATTTGTATTATATATATCTTAAATAATCCATTGCAGAGGAGCTGTTGTAAATCACACGTCACATAAAGGCTTTCACATTTTTTTTTTAGCTAGGTGATAAAACAAACAGGGAAAAGTTGTCTATTAGTCGGAAATAGACCAGCTGAATTATTCAACTGTGTCGCCATATGTATAACCAGAGAGTACACAAACACACCCACACATCTTCCGGCCAGCAGTGGGGTCGGGCTCTCTCCCTAACACCGCCAACCCGCCGGTCGCTGGCGGGAAACGAAGGATTTTAGAGACAGGATTGTTAATCATATCCGTGAGGAGGTGAGACAGCCTCTGCGAGATCTCCAGCCACAGTATTACCAAGAAGCCAAAGGCGTTCCTCTCTTGTCTCCAAGTCACGCACCAGAGACTTCCTTTTACCTGTGAAGGTGTGAACTCCTGCTAGTGTCCTCCTAAACCTTCGGTTACCAAAGAGGGCTTTAACAAAAGGAATCGTTTGTGAGGCCCCAAGGAGGTTCCGAACCACCCACCCAGCGCTGCCTAGTCGCGAACTCGATTATAGTTGCAAGAGGGTGAGTACTGTTGAGGGCGTGAGGCAGCAGGAGCACACAGCATGGGGTGCTGGGTGATGTAGGCGCAGCATCCACGCCCCGCTGGGACGCCAGCCACGCCTGCCTCTCTGCACGCCGCCTTCATTACCCTCTCATCTCTCCACTCTCGCCAATCATCTCCAGCATCGAGGGCATGAAAACGTTTATTTTCTAAAAACCTGTAGAACCTGTAGGTCTTCTTAGCAAATACTGAATATCTCGAGGGAGAAGAAAAATAGACATATTTTGTCCGCTCTCTCTATCTCTTAAGACGCAAGGTGTGTAACTGTGAGGGGCTTCAGGAGCTCCTGAAGGTCTTGAGCGCTACTTCCAAACTGCCTCAGGCAAAAGTCAACTGAGCAAGTCTCCCAGGAGGACCCAGGCCAGCTTCTCCCGGTAAAACAAGACACGTATCCGCTGTTAAATACGTAAATCGACACCCTGGCCACCCTGCTCTTTCTTCGCCACCCGCCGTACCAGAGATTAATCAGTGGGAAATATCCCATTTATGCCCTAATTAATCATCTCCATTACCAGTGATCCTGATCTAACTGGCAACAAAGCGTCCAGGTGAGGTACAGAGGAGTCACCTGCACATTCTGTGGATAGGCCGGAGCCACCAGCGCCGTGTTGGAGCTTCGTGGGGTGGCTGGCCTTATCTGTTGCGGGAACGCCCACCCTCCGTTGATAAGCCACTCACTCTCGCTCGTTCTCTTGTGTTACCGTTCGCTGGTGGACATGCTCTGAAAGAGGACTCCCCCTCGCCGCTGAGAAGAGCATGCCAACAGTAGCCGACTAATATCAAGACTGGTGAACAAGTTTGAATTGTTCAGAGAGCGTGATTGAGAGCAATAAAAGAGTACCCTATGATTCGCAATACCAACTCTCGTTCAGTGCTTTAAAAAAACGCAATTAGCAAAGAAACAAAATACTATCAAAGTGACTTATTATGACATATATGTATACTAATGCTGTTAAAAAAAAGTTTAACTGACTACTGTATTACTTTGAACTTTGAATCTTCCGAGATCTGTATTGCAGCAAAAAGTTGCGTAGTCCTAAACCAGTTTTAATACGTCAATGAGAAATTTCCAACAGCAGCTACTGGTTCAAGTTTTAAAGCCAATCTCTGAAACATTTATGTAATTACCGTTCTATGCAAATGAGCCTTATCTCAAAGAAGGATATCGGAAGGGCCAGTAACAGCGTCAATAAAGATAGTTTCTAAGCACAGAGAGTAACAGAGTGACTTGCAAGACAGACTCTGGTCGTCTCAGGAGGTAGCGAGAAAGTAGCAACAAACTTTGATATCCACAATAGTGATTTAACCATTTCCCTGCATGTGTTAGTTAGCACTATGGACGAGTTGTCTTGTTAGTGTGTGGGAGAAGAATTGTTAGTGTGTGGGAGAAGAATTGTTAGTGTGTGGGAGAAGAATTGTTAGTGTGTGGGAGAAGAATTGTTAGTGTGTGGGAGAAGAATTGTTAGTGTGTGGGAGAAGAATTGTTAGTGTGTGGGAGAAGAATTGTTAGTGTGTGGGAGAAGAATTGTTAGTGTGTGGGAGAAGAATTGTTAGTGTGTGGGAGAAGAATTGTTAGTGTGTGGGAGAAGAATTGTTAGTGTGTGGGAGAAGAATTGTTAGTGTGGGAGAAATATTGTTGGTGTGGTGACAAGTGCACATTAATCCATCCAAGTCATGTTGAATAGTTTGTAGCCTTCTTGCTGTTGAAAGCTACCACTAGAAACACTTATTTCCTCTTATAAACAATTACCACTTTTCTTGTTGTATTATAGGTTCTGAAATACATCTGAAAGAAAGACATTCTCTATCCCGAATTCAATTTAGTAGCTTCTTAAGTACCATGTTTGGTATATGTTTAATCTTTGTATCAGAATTATATTTGTAACTGATTCAAGCCCATAAATTATATATCTTTTTAAAGATAAATATTTTATATCTACAATCCAATATATACTTTTTTCAATTATATGTCAAATTTTATTCCTTAAAAGACAATGTAAATTTGAAAAAATTTATATATTTGTGTTTATATTATGTGTATTTTTGTATACATTTGTTTTTATATGTAGCTCACTTTCCAATTTAAAGTCATTTTTAAAATTAATACAATCAACTCCAGCTAGGAAAGTTACACAGGAAGAGAGTCGTAAATTCCGAGGGTGATTTGTACCTAGCGGCGAGGGTGAGAGAGAAGCTCTTGGGGGAGGGTGTGTGAGAGGTACCTGTAGGGGTGTGTGTGTGAGAGGTACCTGTAGGGGTGTGTGTGTGTGAGAGGTACCTGTAGGGGGTGTGTGTGAGAGGTACCTGTAGGGGTGTGTGTGTGTGAGAGGTACCTGTAGGGGGGGTGTGTGTGAGAGGTACCTGTAGGGGAGAGGTGTGAGAGGTACCTGTAGGGGGTGTGTGTGAGAGGTTGCTATTAGGGTGTGTGTGTGTGTGTGTGTGTGTGTGTGTGTGTGTGTGTGTGTGTGTGTGTGTGTGTGTGAGGGGCTCACCGTAGAGAGGGAGGTGTCAGCCGCGGGTGCGCCACGGTAGCCTACACAAACATCCTTGAGTAAACATTTCGACCTCTTGGGGGACCAGCGTGGTCCAGCTCTCTCTCTCTCTCTCTCATCTTGCCTCTTGAAGAGCCGCTGTCGACCTGCCCCGAGTCCTCACCAGGGCCTCGCGAGCTCTAGTGTATAATCTGTTTCTGTACACACAATGTGTACAGGAATTTGGAGTGCATCGATAAGAGACAAATAGCTACTGTTTACAGTGAAGTGATGTTGTATTTTGCGATAGCTGCCACAGTGACAAGCACCGACACGCTCATCTGATTGAATAGTTCGGGGAGAAAAACAACAAAATTAGACGTAATTATTACTCAAGGAAAAATGAATATGGATGACGTGAATGGGGCCAAATATGCCCTGAGGACTAAGTCAATCATCAAGAGAATAGAGTCGGAGAAGAACAGAGCGACGTCGAAGAGGAGAGAGCCCAAGGAGAAGCAGAAACCTCCGCCGCTCAGCAAGTACCGACGCAAGACGGCCAACGCCCGCGAGAGGAACAGAATGAAGGAAATCAACGACGCCTTCGTCACGCTGCAGAAGGCCATTCCAGACCTTCCCGGAGCCGACGCCGAGAAGCTGACGAAGATCACGGTCTTGCGGCTCGCCGTGAATTATATCAACGCCCTGGCAGGTGTGCTCAACGAAGAGGCATTCGGCCCGAAGGATATTGACGGCGTGCGGAAAGTTTGGTGTATAGAGAACGCTCACATGGCGCGGCCGGAGCACTGTGTACGACCGGTCATTACAACGTGCAAAATGCCCGCCAGTAACATGGGCAAGAGTACTAAGTGTTGTGCTACCAACAAACCTCATAACAAAGTGTCCAAGCCTAAGTGCTCCTTAGTGCCGAAAATGAACGATAATAAGTGTAAAAATATGATCGGTGGGAAAGTACCGACCAAGCGGCCAAACAAATCGAAAAGTAAAACCAAAATATGTAAAACAGCGAGTATAGCGACCAGCAACGGCGCGTATATCACCCTCAAGAACGTGGCCCTCCAGACCCCGCCGCACAGGCTCGGCAGATACGCCAACAATGAACCACTGATGATGTCCATGACGGTCAAGAGACCGAGAATGGAGCATTTATCAGGGCCTCGAGAGGCCAAAATGCCTCGCCTAGTACCTCTAATGCCCATGGTGGCTGTCAATCAGCCCCTGCTGGCCCTCACGCCCTACGCCACGGATTTCCTGCACGTGCCTGCCTCCATACCCGGCCACGACACCCCTGAGCCGATGGTGGGCGCCACGCCCTTCACACCACGACGACCATCCAACCTCAACACGTCGTCTTTCTTCACTCAGAGCGACAACATTTCCGTCAATGTCATTCAAGAACTCGACAGTCCAGTCGTTCGGAATGACGTGCTGCTTGAGTTCCCGCGAAGTGGAAGACACTTGAGCGATTCTTCGAGTGGCGATTCAGCCTTCTCCAGCGAAGGCTCCTTCCCTCCTAGTCCCATAATGGGACCCGTCTTCACGACCCCCGTCCCAGTACCCGTAGGGGACAGCTCTCCTACCTTCTCAGTCACCTCCAGCGACTTCTCTGGTTGCGGGTCGGCGTCGGACTGCGAGAGTGCGCTAGCGGCGCCCGGAGAACTCTGCAACCTGCTGGGGGATGAGCCCTTCGAGGACGAGCTTGACCACCTGACTCTAACGTTCGCCGAGGGTGACGACACGCTCAATCTCTTCCTCGCTCACACGTCCTCGAACTTCATCTGCCCCGATATTGATGAATGTTAGGAAGGTGGAGTTTAGAAACGGCTTTAATGTACAAACGTGATTCGGAAAGGCCAGAAAAAGGCTATATAACTACCGGTGATCAGAAAGCCATTATGGTGGACGACTACCCTATAATGCACGGGTGGTTACCGGTGTCGAATACCGGTAAGACACAAAAGATAACTGCGGTGGGCCGTACGGATAGCCACCGGCAGTATGTCGATAACTGCCGGTGATTGTGCGGATGACTAACAGGAAGGTAGTCAGTCACGAGTGGTGGGTGAAGATGTGGATGATAGAGCCATGTGTGTCTCACAGGAGCACCTGAAATGGCTCTATCCGCGTTAGAAACTTGGATTGATATCTTGCAACATCCCCCACACCTGGTCATGTGTCCAAACTATGATTACTATGTAATAACTCCCCAGGTATTCTACGCAAGTTTGTAAACTACAGAGAACATTGCATTTGTAACTAAAAGATAATGTAATGGATATACGTAAACTAAGTATAGAAATATACATATCAACCTTTTGTGTTCACATTTTGTAAATACGATGTTTTTTTTAAATAATTTTGTAAATAAAATGTTTTTTTTTTCAATACTTTTGTATATAAGAATTTTTTTTGGCTTTGATGTAAATAAAACGACGTTCATTTTCTGTCGAGTTTACTTGGATGATGGACCTTCCTTCTTTATTAATTATGGTTCTTCTTCTCCTTACGGGGAGATTCGAACCAGCAGCCTCACACACACACAGAGCAGCTCAGGTCCCTTGATCATGCATTGGACCAGAGATTACACTCACCAGACACACTGCATTGGAAGAGACCCTACACTGGACCAGACCCCACACTGGACCACACACCACACTGGACCACACACCACGTTGGACCACACACCACACTGGGCCACACATCACACTGGACCACACACCACAATGGAACACACACCCCACAGGACCACACCCCACACACAGGACCACACACCACACTGGACCACACACCACACAGGACCACACCCCACACACAGGACCACACACGACACTGGACCACACACCACGCTGGACCACACACCACACTGGACCACACACCACACTGGACCACACACCACACTGGGCCACACACCACACTGGACCACACACCACACTGGCCCACACACCACACTGGACCACACACCACACTGGGCCACACACCACACTGGACCACACACCACACTGGCCCACACACCACACTGTACCACACACCACACTGGGCCACACACCACACAGGACCACACACGACACTGGACCACACACCACACTGTACCACACACCACACTGGGCCACACACCACACTGGACCACACACCACACTGGACCACACACCACACTGGCCCACACACCAGACACTACAAGATCAATACAACTCCTCCACAGCAGCATGATTTCTTCAACCATAAGAGGAGGTGGAAACCAATATTGGATGTGAGACACTTCGCCCAAACGGCGCCACCTCAGAGCCTCCTGATGGAACGGCAACCCGTTCCATAACTGTGTCAACCCAACAAACACAAAAATCAACTACAAAAATTCTTGTTTTCCGTTGTATTAATTCAACCGGTTAAGTTGTGTGTTTGCAGGAACTGCATTGTTCCAATTACAGCCGTTCAACACCTTACTGAAGGTCTTTAATGTTCAGGATAGAGGGTACATAAGTACCCTGGATACATATGTGCCCTGGGTACATATGTGCCCTGGGTACATATGTGCCCTGGGTACATATGTGCCCTGGGTACATATGTGCCCTGGGTACATATGTACGATGTCTTGAAGGCTCTGTGTTTATAGGTTTATAGCGCTATACAGCCACACTGGCTTAGCGCACTCTCGCTATAATTACTTAATGTGCTTGACTACACATGCTACCTGCTCTATACATGTTTCCTGCTCTATATATGCTACCTGCTCTACACACACTACCTGCTCTATACACGCTACCTGCTCTATACACGCTACCTGCTCTATACACGCTACCTGCTCTATACACGCTACCAACGGTGGGGGATTGTCTTGAAGTCTTGAAGGCTCTGTGTTTATAGGTTTATAGCGCTATACAGCCACACTGGCTTAGCGCACTCTCGCTATAATTACTTAATGTGCTTGACTACACATGCTACCTGCTCTATACATGTTTCCTGCTCTATATATGCTACCTGCTCTACACACACTACCTGCTCTATACACGCTACCTGCTCTATACACGCTACCTGCTCTATACACGCTACCTGCTCTATACACGCTACCTGCTCTATACACGCTACCTGCTCTATACACGCTACCTGCTCTACACATGCTACCTGCTCTACACACGCTACCTGCTCTACACACACTACCTGCTCTATACACGCTACCTGCTCTATACACGCTACCTGCTCTATACACGCTACCTGCTCTATACACGCTACCTGCTCTATACACGCTACCTGGTCTACACACGCTACCTGCTCTATACACGCTACCTGGTCTACACACGCTACCTGCTCTATACACGCTACCTGCTCTATACACGCTACCTGCTCTACACATGCTACCTGCTCTACACACGCTACCTGCTCTATACACGCTATCTGCTCTACACATGCTACCTGCTCTATACACGCTATCTGCTCTACACATGCTACCTGCTCTACACACACTACCTGCTCTATACACGCTACCTGCTCTATACACGCTACCTGCTCTATACACGCTACCTGCTCTATACACGCTACCTGCTCTATACACGCTACCTGCTCTATACACGCTACCTGCTCTACACATGCTACCTGCTCTACACACGCTACCTGCTCTACACATGCTACCTGCTCTACACACGCTACCTGCTCTATACACGCTATCTGCTCTACACATGCTACCTGCTCTATACACGCTATCTGCTCTACACATGCTACCTGCTCTACACACACTACCTGCTCTATACACGCTACCTGCTCTATACACGCTACCTGCTCTATACACGCTATCTGCTCTACACATGCTACCTGCTCTATACACGCTATCTGCTCTACACATGCTACCTGCTCTACACACACTACCTGCTCTATACACGCTACCTGCTCTATACACGCTACCTGCTCTATACACGCTATCTGCTCTACACATGCTACCTGCTCTATACACGCTATCTGCTCTACACATGCTACCTGCTCTACACACACTACCTGCTCTATACACGCTACCTGCTCTATACACGCTACCTGCTCTATACACGCTACCTGCTCTACACACGCTACCTGCTCTATACACGCTATCTGCTCTACACATGCTACCTGCTCTACACACACTACCTGCTCTACACACACTACCTGCTCTATACACGCTACCTGCTCTACACATGCTATCTGCTCTACACATGCTACCTGCTCTATACACGCTACCTACTCTACACATGCTACCTGCTCTACACATGCCCTCAAAGTCACAGAGACGAGGGTACCTATAGAGATATAGGTACCCTCGATATAGGTAACATAGAGATAGAGCATCCTTGGGAGATATTGTTCAAATACTTTAAAGAGCCATTAGATGATTAATACAACTTGAGCAATAACTCTTGAGTTCGGATGTCTTGGAAAAAGTCTTTAAAAAAATGCATCTAGAAAAACGTATAGAATAAAATGAAGTTTTTCTAATACGTATAATGTCTAAGGAGGCCTGTTTATCCCTAATGAATCAGCCGGGTTGACGCATCGCTGGACGAATACTTCATATGACCAGGGAGGAATTCAAGAAAGGAGGGTAGAAATAGCCTAAGCTACTCTTGAGGTTATCTTGTTATCTTGAGGTTATCTTGAGATGATTTCGGGGCTTTTTTAGTGTCCCCGCGGCCCGGTCCTCGACCAGGCCTCCACCCCCAGGAAGCAGCCCGTGACAGCTGACTAACACCCAGGTACCTATTTTACTGCTAGGTAATAGGGGCATAGGGTGAAAGAAAGTCTGCCCATTGTTTCTCGCCGTCGCCCGGGATCGAACCCGGGATCACAGGACCACAAATCCAGCGTGCTGTCCGCTCGGCCGACCGGCTCCTCTCTATCCCTTTGAGAGGTATTTCTTTCTTGTCTCAATAAACATACTTGAACTTGAACTCAAGAAACTCGTCCCACACAGAAATGAAATTAGTTGAAAACGACGATTTTTAGTTGAGTTTTGTGGTGATCCGTGGTGAAGGGAGCCGGTCGGCCGAGCGGACAGCACGCTGGATTTGTGATCCTGTGGTCCTGGGTTCGATCCTAGGCGCCGGCGAGAAACAATGGGCAGAGTTTCTTTCATCCTATGCCCCTGTTACCAAGCAGTAAAATAGGTACCTGGGTGTTAGTCAGCTGTCACGGGCTGCTTCCTGGAGGTGGAGGCCTGGTCGAGGACCGGGCCGCGGGGACACTAAAAAGCCCCGAAATCATCTCAAGATAACCTCAAGATAACCAAAATCCTTTATGAGGTTACAAGAAATATTTGTTTCTCTTGTCGCGGCCTGTTCAACAAATTATTTTTTTCCCCCAATACATCTGATAAGTGAAATATATATTAGCAAGGATCTGCTTTCCCAGCTGCTCAAGTTTTCAAACGATTCTCTCCCAAAGTGTGAACACACTGACAAAGCAGCCGGTCCTTCTAAGGATTCCCAACGTTAAGAAAACGGTCAATTTAAAGTGTCCTCACCTAACCTACCAGAGGACCCGAAACAGAAAACGGGACAGTACGTCACTTTCCCGAGCCGCTTCCATTTTCTAGTACGACAAGTTTTTGGCCTTAACACACTTTAGGTAATGGCATAATCTGGAAACGTGTTCATATGCTAATCTACGAACCTTTATTCCCAACAAAGTTGTTTTCAAATTACTGCATTAGCTACGTGTTATGTCTCCCTTGAGGGATGTGAGAATATGTATGAATGTGTATATATATATATAATATATATATATATATATATATATATATATATATATATATATATATATATATATATATATATATATATATATATATATATATATATATATATATATATATATATATATATATATATATATATATATATATATATATATATATATGACAATGTCAGACCACTCCTTCTGAAGACGTATTAATATACGAAAGTACTTAAGGAAATTCCTGTTTCATTTTTCCTCCGTGGTCTGACATTGTCACATTTTTAATCACGTGTTTATTTTCGTGATATACACACATATATATATATATATATATATATATATATATATATATATATATATATATATATATATATATATATATATATATATATATATATATATATATATATATATAAAGTAAACCGAAAAATACCGACCGAAAAAGTAAGATTAATAATTCTGACACAAATTTTCTCAATATTTCTTATGTTTCTTTTCACTGTCGATGGTAATTGAAAAATCAATTCTCCAAAATTCATTTTTATTTCTAGTCTGACGCGACACTTGAACGCGTTTTGTAATAACTTATTACAATTTCAAAGACTTTAGTTTACACACACACAACTATAACCTGCAAACACTAAACAGAGTTCTACTATACTATAATTTAAACGGCTTTAATGTTTGCAGGTTATAGTTGTGTGCGTGTAAACTAAAGTCTTTGAAAATGTAATAAGTTATTACGAAACGC